CTCAAAAAGCGGAGGTTGGTAACCTAGCAGTAAAACACCCTCTTGGGGGTTGAGGGGGGGGGGGGGTGTAATGGAGCATCAAAAATGGGGGGAACGAGCCAGCTTTGCCTCCGCAACACGCTTGATGGCCACTTAGTTAAAAGGAACGTTGATTTCTTGGATTGGTGGACGCTGAGAGGACAAAGTAGCAGCGGAAAATGGGGGCTTAATGGACAGTTATCCGCTGGTATTTCCCTTTGGTACTTGACGAGTTTAGAGGGGGTTACTCTGCATGGTAGGCCAGGGAAACTCAGCCGGTCATACTAACCCCTGACCACACACCCTACCCCCACACCCCCCACGGGCTCAGAGTAGGTATTGGTGGTTTTGTATACATTAAAGCGTTGTGTTCGGATGAGGACAATGGACTCCGTACATGGATAGGATATTACTAAGCATGCTCAGGAAGGGAAGGTGAGGGGAATAACGAGGCTACCATGTTTGTCAAACACGTTTTGACATTGTTACTCAAATGCGATCCTATCGATACATATTGCCCCATAGAGGGGATTATAGGTTTGGTGTTAGGATCCGATTCCTGGTGGTCAATGGGGGGGTGTGGTGATATACCTAACTAAAGGTGTGGGTTAAGCGTCTGTGGATGGGACTAATTAGGGCGTTAGTATTCCAATGAATGATGTTTGATGGGGTGGGGTACTTCGGTAGCTCGTATGTATGTACTGGGCATTCGGAGCCTGAGGGGCCACTGACGGTCCCCATAAGGTGGTATGGTTTTTGATCGGTTTAAAGTTTTAACTTGGTTGGTGTTCTCTAGTTATAACAACAAAGGGCTATGAAATGAACTTAGAGCTATACAACAACCAAAGGAGGAGGAGAATTGGGAGGAGTGAGTGTCATTTGGAGTGTGACTGGGGGTTGTTTGTACGGTAAAATACTAGCGTGAGTGTTGGTGTTAGGTTAATAACCGTCAGAAGTGCACCACGGGCCGGCACGTTTGGTGGGCCCTCTGGCCTCAGGTTTGCCCAGTCTTCTGGTGAGTAGGGACCGATGACCATTCCAAGTATAATAAAGCATTTGGTTTTTATATTACAATTTCGGGACTACTCATTGAACTTAACACTCATTTGGGGTGGGGTTTCACTCTCCAAATTGTGAGGTATACGACCGGGTTGAGTTCTCATAAAACAGATTCGTTGCCAGATTTGGGCTTGTGGTTCCACGTTAGGCGGTGGAGCTTTGTGCTGTACAATGGTCTTAATAGGGTTGCTATCACTATTGGGTGCGATATTTCCCTCAATTTATACGGTTACGGGAGCAAGAGTATTTGATCTTGTTCAAGTAAAGGGCAGCCTGTGGGGCTTGTGTGATGCACGCTCAACTTCCGCTGATTTTGATTTATAATCCCCCACTTGGAATGCCGGTGCCGGTACGCCTTGAGTGTTTCGACTGGGAAAGTCAGCAGATGTGTACACGAGTTGTCCTATTTTAGTTCATAAGGGGAATGCACTAGTATACGGGGCATTGTTGGGGATCACTGAGTGTGGATGTTTTTAGTGGAGCTGTCAGTGTCGTTATAAAGTTAAATAAGCATCTGAGGGCCACATTCTAAGCGATTCCTTATGTCCTAGAGATACTGCGAGGGATGGCTTCCGGGTGCGTGGCGGGGTCCTACGAAAAAATTGTGTTTAACTGCGCAGTTCTCACTGACAGTTGTTGTAGGTGAATGTGAATCCTCTTCAATCCACTAGGAGGCGAACACACAGGAGACGGCCCCAGTTTACGACTGTACGACTTTGTCCGCCTTCAGAACTACAATATCAAACATAGCTGTTTGAGCTCAGGACACGTGTTGCTTCGGCTGGTTAGTTGATGAGTGTTTATGGATTCAGTATTTTATTAAGGCTTTGCAACTGTTATGCGGGATAAAGACAACAGTGCTTGTTGGAAAACTTATGGTTATTATTTAAATATTTTCAGCACAAACTGTCTTACTATATTAGTGGGAAATTATCTGAGACAATCATGAACGAGTTACGAGTGCAGGAGAAGCAACTAACCTGCACGTATCAAACTAAGACAGGGATCAGTGGCAATACAACGTCTGCACAGTTTATAAGTTTATATATGGTAATAATAGTTAGTTGAGTTTGAATCACATCTCCTGTATATCAGATCTGAGTACGCAAATCTGCTTGTCCTTCAGAATATGCGGTGATGCGCGTCTGCTCCTTAGTCCGTCGGTCCATGTCCCGCGCACCGCTTCATTCTATCACTTCCATTAAACACAATAAGTACCTAGCACTCGGAGACTCCTTGAGCGTCCCGTACGGTAGTTTGAAAATTCGAGGCTGCAGAGGGCAGGGCGACGTAAGGCCTGCGGTACAACGCTTGCGCAAGTGACGTCACGTCTCCCGTCCGTATGCTCCGGCGCCTCGCGTGGTATAAACTAGGCTGTTGAGAGAAAGCACCGTTGACACTTTTGGTGTCAAGTCTCACACTGAATGTATCTATCTATATTACAAAAAACATCTCTTCAACTCACCTAAAAGCCATTGTATAGGCATAACA